TTGATTAATTCTATTAAAATAGATATAGAGGGGGCCTTTCTTGTCAACATATAAAGAAACTGGAGACGAGTAGCTTCTTTAAAGTCATGGGCAGAACCTGGGATCAGAAGTCAGCAGGTTGATTTGTCTGCCTCAGCTCAGCCTTTCCTCCATATACACCTCAATGGGACTGCTTGCTTGTGGCTCCCTCTCCAGTAATTTACAATGTAACAATGCCCAAAACACCTAGAGGTTTTGAGATATAATTTTTTTAAATAAAAGGCTGGGGTATACAGTGCTTGTCTAGTAAGCACAAGACCCTGGATTCAATCTCTAACACTACAGAAAAACTATCTAAAATATTAAAATATTAAATTTTAAAATAGTAAAAATCTTAACACTGTCATTTATTCCTCCATGGAGGATTGGTTCAGAGAACTACTCTCCCCAACCACAAGAAAATCTGAGGATGCTCAGATTTTGAATGTCCCAGTAGCCTCTTGTACTGGGGTCTGGATTTTCAGTAGAGACCTCTGACATCATCAGTGGAGGAATCTCTTGATGGATTCATGATTTGATGGCAGTGGGGAGTGGTGAAGACCCTGGCTGGATGCAGTAGGCCCCTGGGAGCATATCCTTGCGGTGGTATCTGTCCTTGGCCCCTTCCTGTTAGCCTCTTTCTGCTTTCTGGTTGTTATGATGTGAACTGAGCTGCTCTGTCATATCATCTTTACCATGAGGGACTGAAACCTTTACAACTTTGAGCTAAAATAAGTCTTGTAAGTTGGTTTTGTCAGGTACTTGGACACAGTAATGAGAAAAAATAACTGGTACAATGGTGTGGTATTTGCACATCCCTCCTGTACTTTACATCATCTCCAGATTCGTTATCATGCCCAACGTATTGAAAACGTCATGTAAATAGTTGTTTTACTGTATTTTTTAGGGAAAAATGATAAGAAAAAAACTCATACATATTCTTTATAGATGTAAACTTTCCCTCCAATACATCAGCCCATGGTTGCTTGACACCATGGATCTGGGTATGAAGGGCCAACTGTATAGACAGTTGGATAAACTTAAAATTAAAATGAAGAAAAATAACAAATACCATAATTAAATATGGAATGTATTTATGCTAGAGATATAACTTTAAAGTGTTAAGTATTTAATATGAAGTAGTGTTTCAAAAGGCATAGCTGCCTCAATGGGATTCCCTGGCACCACGAAAGTGAGAGAAGACCTTCAAGATAGTATTTCAAGGACATCCTTGTGTATGCTACCACTGAGCTGCACCTCCAGCCCTCAGTTTATTGAGATAGGGTCTCACTACATAGTTTAGACTTGCTTTGAACATGCTACACAGCCCAGGCTGCCCTCAAATTCCTGAGCCTCCTACCTCAGCCTCTGGAGTTTTGGGATTATAGGCAGACACTCTCAAGCCTGGCTGGTATGTGAAGGTCACCTGAGCCCACTCCTGGGGTGGCTACTCCCCTCAGGGTGCGTTATCTCCTCCTTTTGGATGACTCGGATCCTGGTCTTGATGTAGGGGAAGGCATGCATGGTGGTGAGGACAGTGTTCCTCTGGTACTGCTCATGTAGCTCTCCCCGAGGCCGCCCCTCCAGGGTGAAGGGAGTGGTGTACATGAACCTCCGAAGGTTGAAATTCTTCTCGAAGTAGGTCACCCTGTCTTTCATCTCATACCCATCAAAGTAGGGCTCAACAAATGTGATCTGTATGTAGGCCTGAGGGAAAGGGGAGGGGAAGGAAAAGATGAACCATTCAGCCAACAAGATTCATGGCGCCTGGAGGGGCATGCTGGGACACAGCCCAGCCCTCCTTTCCAATCTGTGCTGAATGCCTCAGGCCAGAATTCAGAATCTGCCCTTTCTCCTCACCACCTCAGAGAGTGGAGAGGACCTTGAAGTTGGGGAAGAAAATATACCTCAGGGAACAGGCAGATGCTGCTCCCTGCTGCTCCCTCTAAAAGGCCTACAGAGGCCTCAGCATGAGAGTTTGCAAACTGCCCTTCCAAGAGGCAAACCTTCCTTTACAGATTTGCTATGATGAAGACATGCTTGCTAGAGAAAAGAGATAGTACCAAGTGTTTTTAAGGATGGGACAGTTGGAATGGTTATATAATCATGGGGGAATACAAAATGTATGGTCACTCTACAAGTCTGGAGCTCCTTATGCAGCTAAATGGCATCCCCCACCCAAGAACCCCACTGCCACTTGTGTGACTCTTGGGTTGGATGTGATTATTGATCTCTTGAAATAGAGAATCTGTCTGTGATCACCCACATGAGGCCCTTGTGGAGAAAGAAGGAAGGTCCATGAAGTCTCTCCCTTCCCCACACCCCACTCTTTTCCTCCTGTTGGCCCTGCCTCTCCACAAGGATATATATCTCTTGTCTCTATATTTATCTGTCATCCATCCATCTCTCTCTCTCTCTCTCATCATCTATCTCTATCATCTATCTATCTATCTATCTATCTATCTATCTATTAAACAAAGTGTGGTACATCACAGACCTGAATACTACTCAGCATAAAATGAAAGGGACTATTACAACATGGGTAAATCTTAGATGGTGTACGCTGAGCCAATGAAGCCAGTTTCGAAAGGCTGCATGCTTCTGCAGGTGCACCTGGAAAGGCAGCTCTACACAGAAGACAGCCAGGGGCTGCTAGGGGCTGACAGCAGAGATGACAAAGGAGCCTGGGAAATATTTCAGACTGATGGAATGGTTCTGTATCTTGACTGTGGTGCTGGTGGTTACATACATTTGTCAAAATGCATAGAACTGAACACTAGTGAGTGTCACTGCATGCCTCATGTAAATACACACACACACACACACACACACACACACACGCTCATTAATGAAGATGAATTCTTTAAAAACACAAGGAAGAGGAATGGACAGGAGCAGTGTGACACCCGCCCAGTGGGGAGGACCCGTGGGTAGGTCACCGACCTCACCCTGTAAATCATGTTTTTGAATAATGAAATCTGGTTGTGATGTTGGTTAGGACTCTCACAGCCTACCTTGGGAATTTTAAGATAGGGGAGAGGCACTTGGGTTGTGCTCAGATCACTGTGGATACACAGCCAATCCTATCTTCCAAGGACTCCAAACATTTCCATTCACCTCTTACCACAGTGACTGCTTTAGGTTTCAGCTGAGGAATGTTTCTTAAATGAGTAAGTGTTCTGACAAATGAAGAAAGACAAATTTGTGTTTGGCTGGTTTCTCTCTATCTGCATCATCTTCATTCTGTCCTGGAAGACAGAACTGAGGGACTCACATGAAGAGGGCCCTTTCTCCCTGACCTTTCCCTCTGTATATCCATTATCATACAACTATAATGAGAAGTATGGTACTGTTGTGAGGTTTTTTTTTTTTTTTCTTTTTAACTCATCCTGGTTGTGTGTGTGTGTGTATGTGTGTGTGTGTATGTGTTTGAGACAGGGTCTCCCTGTCGTCCCAGTTGGCCTGGAACTTGCTATGTAATCAGGCTAGCTTCCATCTCACAGAACTCCACCTTCCTCTGCCTCCCGAGTGCTGGGATAAAACGCACCATGTCGGGCTCTAGCAGTTACTTTAGATACATTGTCCATCCCTACAGAGAAGAAGCGGATCACAGCATGTGCAGAGGAAGAGTGGCCAGAGATGTTCCCGGGTGGATGTGCTCTTGGTCCTGAGAGTTACAGAGCATTAATTCTGCCCACTGAAAGACCTCTATGGTTTAGAAAAGAAGGTTTTGGGGACAGTGGGTGTGGCTGCTCCCTCCTTCCAATATGGTCCAAGTGTAAAGGGTCCCAGACCCCTGTGTTGCACATCTGAGAAAAACAGCTATTAGAGACAAGCTTGCTGGAAGATCTCCAAGACCCGAGATAGGAGAAGGGCTATTTTTATTTTTATGTGTACAAGTGTTTTGTCTGTATGTATATAAGTGCACCACATGTGTGCAATGTCCACAGAGACCAGAAGAGGGCATTGGATCCTCTGGACCTGGAGGTACAGACAGTTGTTAGCCAATATGTTGGTGCCAGGAACTGAACCTGGTCCTCCACAAGAGCAACCAGTGCTCTTAACTGCTGAGCCACCTCTCCAGCCCCTACTCTAGTGTTTTAAAATACTTATTATCTATAAAAAGTAATGGGTTTCATTTTGACATTTTCATATATGTATACACTTGATAGCTTTAGTTGTTGACTTGATACACCTAGGTAGAGGGAGCCTCAGTTGGGGAATTGTCTCCACTGGACTGGCCTGTGCCATGTCTGTGAGGCATTGTTTTGATTGTTGAATAATGTGGGAGGGCCCAGACTGCTGTGGGAGGTGCCACCCCTGGGCAGGTTGTAAGCACAGTTCCTCCGTGACCTGTGCTCCAGCTCCTACCTCCATGTTCCTGCCGTGAGTTCCTACCTTAGGCTCCCTTAGTGATGAACTTGGAGATGTAAGCCAAATAAACCCTTTCTTCCCCAAGTTGATATAGGTCAGAGTGTTTTGTTACAGCAATTGAAGGCAAAGTAGAACAATGTATATCCTGTGCTTTGATCATACACCCCCTCACTGCCCTCTTTTTAAGATGTTTATTTTTGTGTATGAATGTTTTGTCTGCATGTATGTAAATGCACCACATGCATGCAATGCCTGCAGAGGCCAGAAGAAGGTGTCAGATCCCCTGGAACTGGAGTTATGGATGGTTGTTAGCTGCCAGGTGGGTGCTGGAAATTGAATCCCGGTCCTCTGGAAGAGCAGCAACTGTTCTTAACCACTAAGCCACCTCTCCGGCTCCATCCACGTTTAGTGAAAGAGAGACTGTCTCAAAACAATAAGGTGGTAAATGATGGAGGAAGACACCTAATGTCAATCTCTGGCCTTTACACATGGGCACACATGTGCATACCACACACACACTACACTACACTATGATACAAATCATGGTTGCATTTAAATGACTGGCAAGAGTCCAGACACAGAAATTCATTTTGTGCTTTCAGGGTAGAAAAAGGATTCAGAGTTCGATAGCTGTTTTATTTCCCCCATACCTTGTTGGGATCCAGTTTGGTTTTGTCCACAGGAGTGGAGTCTTTTATCACTTCCACAAATTCTGTACCAAAACACTGACCATAAAATCCCTGAAGAAAAGAAGCCATGTGTTTATAAAGTTCATTTTGAAAGAAAGAAACTCTTTGTCTTTTCAGAGGTGGAATGAGTTTGGAATAAGTTCAAGGCAGAATTTATTCATTGATTATGGACAGTCTCTCTGAGCTAAGTAGCAAACTTCAGCATTTCTAGAGACATAAATGAAAGTATAAGGAAGTCCAGCACTCTCAACTATCTAAGCCTCCCACAATATATGTGCTTGGTCTCAAATTCAACTAACATCATCATATTTCTAGATACCTCTTCAGGGGCATGACACTATTTCTTACATTTTGTCCCCTGGAAACTTGGCAGTCAGCTGGCTTCCCATAATATGGCAAGCTACAGTATACAAGGGAACAAAATACACACTTCTAATTCTAAGCAAGTGACACAGTATTAGGGAATTAAGGACCTGGGGCAATGGTTAGTTTTTCTTCTCAGAGGTGAATGACTTTGGGCAAGCTGCCTGACATCACTGGGGACTGGCTTCTCTGAGTTGAGACCTCTTGTCTTGGCAGGGGTAAATAGTACAAGGAACAATTGAGTGACACAAATTTTTAAGCTTTACAGTCTTAAGAGGGGACACATTCAAAGTAACAGCAAGACAGCATAAACAGGGAACTTTGGTTGACTAGGGTCCAGCTGTTCAGAGGACCCTAGTCTCTCAGCCCAAGAAGCTTTTACTTTGGGGTACCCCTTGACTTTATCACCAAGTTCTCAGCGTCTGGCTCTCTCAATAATTGCTTCCATTTTTCTGACTTATCTCTGCACCATTTTTTTGGCTCTCTCCTTTCAACCATTTCTGCAAGGACTTGCTATTGTTTCCTGTTACATTATGTAGATGTTGGGTGTATCTGGAGCCGGCCATAGCCTACTGCAGAGCTACTTTTCAGATAGAATGTGTTGTTCAGTGACAACAAAATGACAATCACCATTTTTGGGGTTGGGGAGGGGAAGTGATTTAGTAGTTTGGCAAAAGTGCCTCAAAGTCAAGATGATGACCTTCAAGTCAGAAAGTTCTATGACTTCATGCCTGTTGGTACCTATTAGCAACATTTAGAAAGGGCTGTAAGAAATCATGGATGCAGACTGAATTTAATAGTCTTGAAAATAACTCTTCAAGATTTAAATTTTAAACTTTGTAAAATATATATAGGATTCAAGAGAAAACTGTCCAAATTTTGTGAAACTCACAATCTCATCTAATACTTTCATACTATTATATATATTTATATATAGGTCAGTGCCGAGCACATGACTTTAAAAAACATAATGGCTCATTAAACTTTGGTTTTCTTGATGAGTACAATCTTGAGCACACAGGATCTCTTTCTTACCTCTAGTCTATGTGAGATCTCGGGAAGCTTAGTAATTGCAGGCTCCTTGTAAACAAATTCTTGCTCATCCAAATCCCCAAATTTGGAACCACAGAAACCAACTCGGAAGTAAGTTCCAAACATTCTCTTCTGATCCTGTTACAGGAGAAAAGTTCTCTTTAGTCATGTCACTACCAGTGATCCACTGGGTTAAAAAGATCTTTCACTGTGCTGCAGACATTTTATTCCTGTAGCTGACAAAGAGGATTCGCTTTGTTAAGCAGTTTTTTTGTTTTGTTTTGTTTTGGTCTTTTTGATTCAGGGACTTCCGGTAGCCCCAGCTGTCCTGGAACTCACTATGTAGACCAGGCTGGCCTTGAACTCACGAAGATCTGTACTGCCTCTGCCTCCCGAGTCCTGGGATTAAAGGCGTGTGCCACCATGACCCGCTTTTAAGCAGTTTTAGTGCTTACAAAATAAATGTTAGAAGCGATAACAAAGAAATCCTAGGAAAGATGTCTGTGGCTTCATCTAAGTGAACTTAAAAGTTTCTCACATTTTTCCATTTATAAAGCAATTCCACCTGCCTTCCTTCAGTCAGTTTCCAGCCCTTCCTTGTCTGATGGTGAGAACTACAGCAACACTGAGCTCAAGGCCAGTCTGCAGCCAGTGAAAAAGGATGGTGGAGCACCTCTAGGATGGGTCACCTGACACCATAGGATGGGTCACCTGACAGCAGCTAACAGAACCCTAGTGTTCAGCTACCTTGTTGATGATGTGGTCAAAGGCCTTCTGCAGCTTGTCGTGTGTAGAGGCCAGCTTCCGGAAGTCCCGATGCGCTTCCAGGATGGGGATGACCAGCTTGTAGACCTCATTAACCGTCTCATACAAGCCTCCCTTGTTAAGAGAAGAAGAGGATTTAATGCACTGGAATTTAAGAAGAGCAACCAGAGTCAATTATGTAGGCAATGTGCTGGCAAGCACACTTACTGTTGCATCAGTGTTTTACAGGGCCTGCGGGCTGTCTGAGCAATTTTCGGGGTGTCATAGCTTTCAGATCAAACCAGACACATCGCTAAAGGGTCCTGTATGGTGATGTTAACTAGGGAGAAGGCTTTTTACAGACTAAGAATAGGGGAAGAGATGGGCTCAGCCACTAAGGCACTCTGCAAGGCAGGCTTGCAGATTTTGAGCTCATCAGAGGTTCCCCTCTAGCCTGATGCAAAGTCTCAGAGGAGCTAAGAGGGTTCTAACCAATTTATTTTCTAGAATTTCAGTGAAATAAGAGTTAATGGGTACACATGTGAACAGGAGCTAGGTATATTGACACATACATGTGAAAAATGTCGTACGGAAGCCCATCGTTTTGTATAATGAAAAGTTAACCAAAGAAGACTTTTTCACTCCTAAAACAAAATAAAAACAAGAAAAGAAATAAAGCTAACACAATCATTAAAATATATAGAAAACATAGGAAGTTTGGAGGCAAAGATCAGAAAATTAAAAAATAATATAGGAGGGCTGGCGAGATGGCTTAGCAATTAGGAGCACTGTCTTTCTTCCAGAAGACCTGAGTTTGGCTCCAACACCCACACTGCGGCTAATAACCGTGTGTAATTCCATTTCCAGGGGAATCTTATGTCTTCTTCTGGCCTCTACAGGCACTGCACACACAGGCACACTTATATGTATGCAAAAGACTTATACATAAAATAAAAATAAATTTAAAAATTTTTAAATAATATAAGGAAGGAAACAGAATTAGATTAGCTAAATGAAGTATTAAATGTTTACTTGGCATCACTCTTAGGGGTAAGGGTGGTGATTAAAATGAAAATTAATCTGTCTTGGGCTTAGTTAATTAAGCCTTTAAAAAATTAATCCCTTTCCCTCTTGGCCTGAATCTCAGGGGCTTTTCTGGACTTTTTCTCTCATGGGAAGTGTTCATACCCAGACTGGGTTACCGAGGGAAGTCTCCATGGCTTTTGCTATCTCATCTTTCTGAGCTGCCTTGGTGTGTATGGATCCTGAGGACAAATGGAGTGTTGAGGAAAGACACCAGGATCCCTGCCCTCTCCTCACAGTGGCTCCTCCTGACTTTTCTTCTATGAGGGGAAAAATGAGGGCATGAGAACGTGCCTCATCACTGGTTGTGTAGCCCTGGGTAACCCATCTCACCTCTCTGTGGCTTAGGTTCCACCCTATTAAGTGGAAGTAATACTGTAAAACTGCTGCCCAGTCAATGAGCATGAAGCAAAAACCAGAGTATTTCAGTACTGAAAGGCTTCCCTCACCTCCCTTGGAAGGTTGATGCAATTTGTGGACATCAACATCCTACCTGGATCTAGGCAGGGTCATCCAGTCAGACCCAGCCCTGTCTTGCATGGTCCTGACAAGTGCGAGAAGGGGCTGAGCCCAATGGGCACTGACCGTGCTGAAGAGCTCTGCAGCCTGTTCCAGGAGGCCCACAAGTCCACTCTCTGTAAAGTACTGACCAGAGCACACTCTGTCCTCATCGGGTGACAAGGTATCATCAGAGACGGCAGACTCCTCCAGGATGTTAGAAGAAATATTCTGTAAGACAGTCTAATATGAGCCCAGGGAACAAGGGGACCTGACTAATAAGGGACCCCAGAAGCCCAGACAGACCATAGGATGAGGAAGCCACACTCCAAACCTTCACCAGGCCGAAGTTATAACAAGTTTGTGATTCCACCCACAGGAGTTTCTAGATGCTGTTTTGTTTGAAAGGTCACACTATGCAACCTGTCACCAAACCCCACAATTTTTAACCATCAGCAGTGTAGCTGAAACAACCCCAGGTTGGTGAGATAACCTTAAGGGAGGGTCAAGGCCAACAATCAGTGAACAGATTCCTGTTTCACCAGCTGAGTGAACTGTTGGCTTTTGAGGATGTTTTGCTGAAGCATGCTGCCACCACCATCTGACTTTCAGATAAACAGCCATAATATTACATATGACCGCAGCCAATGAGAATTCTTTACAGAAGTGCTATGGTTTATAGTAGTGTAAAAGCTGCTGGTCCCCTCCACCCACAAACATTTTGTTTTTACACATTCTTATTTATAAAAACTAGGGAATGTACTATCCAGGGCTAGGTTGACTCAAATGAGAAACTGAGGGCACAAACTTTCAGGAAATACTCATGTTCAGGGTCATGGACATGCTGATTTGGTACTTGCTTGACTCTGAGAATAAGTTTCTGCTTACATTTTGTGCCTGTGCACACCACTTGCCTTACCCAACATCTGACCTGGCAGTGACTCTAGTACTTCTGACATGCCAAGGGTCATTCTTGGCTTAAGCTATGGAAGGACATATGGAGTATAGAAGAAATGGGAAACTGCCATGGTTTCAGGATTAAAAATAGCACACATGCCACTCCTTCTGATTGCTGTGTATGTAGCAAACACAATTCATCAATAATAGCAGTTTTTCCATCTGGAACTCGATATCCTCCCAAAATTCTCTCGGCATAGTGCTCCAGTAAGCCATATGCTTTGTGGAATTAAAAGCTGCCTGCCTTCTGACTTGGCTAACAAGATCAAGAGAATCACCTTCAGGAATCCCAGAAGAGGTAGTCATCAGAAGCCTATCCCCTCACATCCATATTGCAATACAGTTTTATGAACACAAGCAGAGTTTCTCAAAGTCTTTTGTGACTGATATGTCTTCCAAACCTGGACTATTATAATGAACTCATGATAGAAGGTCGAAGAAAGTCAGCTGAAGGAATCTAATAACTCAGGACACTAGGACTGTTGAGATTGTTCATGACACTGTTTCTACATATAAAGGAATAGATACGAAGCTAAGCAGCTTACTAGCTGTAGTCAGAGGAAAAAGATTTTGTACAGGCATTTCTGGCTTCCGTTCAGGTGAAAATCATAGCAGTATGGAGAACTGTCCATATCTATGTTTGTGAAATAAATATTACACTCTAGGGCACAGGAATTCAATGATCTCAGTTGGTTGGAACTCAGTGAACTCAAAAGTTATTTTTCCTTGAACATATTTATCTCTACAAGTCTTTCCCAAAGGCTGAATTTTATCGTGGCAGAAAAAGGTTAAAAACTGAAGCACCGAACATTTAAGAAATCAGCAGTACATGTCTGTTGTTAACACTGCCTGTAATTCCTTCATTCTTCAGTTACATAACATACCCTCATTTTCTTTTTAAAAACTGTTTATTTTTATCTTATGTGTATGAGTGTATTGCCTGAATGTATGTAAGTGTTGTCTGTGTTGTGCAATGCCCATGGAGGTCAAAAGAGGCATCAAATTCCCCTGGAACTGGAGTTAAGGACAATTGTTAACTGTCATATGGGGGGCTGGGAATCGAACCCAGGTCCTCTATAGGAACAGCCAGTGCTCTTAGCTGCTGAACCCTCTCTCTAGCCCCCCTCATTTTCTTTTACACAAGGACTGATAACTTTAGATGTGGACCTATGACAGTGGCACAGACAATGAGACCATCTTATTACTTTGACCATTATGACTGATTTGGGGTTGAACACATAACTCAGTCAGAACCAATAAGATGGCCAAAGACATTCTCTGAAACTTCTGGAAATGAGACGTTTCTCTTTTCTCCTGGACTTGAACCCAATTTTAACTCAATCAGTGTCGGAATTCTGCATGTGAAAAATGAAGCCCACACTACAGAAGACTGGGACCGAAGGTGGTGACAACATGGCTTTGGGTCTCTAGGTCTAGGCTGGCAAGTACTACTGAGGATTCACCTCCCCATGCAGATTAATGGATTCCATTTTTACCTTAGGTTAGTGTGGACTCAATATCATTCACTTTCAAGCATCCATTTCCAAACAGACTTCATAGGACTTGTGTGAGAGAAATAAGAAATCGTCCATAGGTGTCACATGACTGTGCACCTGAGAACCTGGCTCACAGGTTCTACACATTATGAAGGCCTCCCACTTGCCCCTTCCTTCCTTCTCACCCTTTTCATCCTTTTCCTCAAGACGAGCCACAGGCTACATGCTTACTGTAGCAGTATCGTGACTGTTGCTGAATAGAATAGTTACACAATGTCTCTGGCTAGAATGTACACAGTTCATATGGACAGAATAAATCCCAATGAATATTCTCTAATAAAAGGAATAAAGATTATAGGAAAATATGGAGCTTCATCTTCCTATATAGGGATAATGAGGAGTCTCTGTGGGTTCTAGAATAACAAATTTATCTCAGCTTGGCATGCATGATTATAAGCAAGTCAACTGAATTCTAAGTAAGACAAGGATAGTAAGGCTTATTAAACATAAAGGTAAAAAGTGAAATTCAATTAAGTGAAAAATATTAAATAAAATGCAGTAATTGGGAAAAAGCATAAGAGAATTATAAGAAATAGTTTGGTAAATGAAGTAAGAAAAGAGGACAATGGGGCTGGACAGACACCTCAGCAGTTAAGAGCACTGGGTGCTCTTGCAGAGGACCTGGGTTTGAATCCCAGAATCCCACATGGTGGCTAACAACTGTCTGTAACTCCAGTTCCAGGGGATCTGATGCCTTCTTCTGACCTCTGTGGGCACTGCACCACATGGGTGCACTTACATACATACAGGCAATACACTCATACATATAAAATAAAAAATTTAAAAAAAGGATGATGTGTGCTGGGCATCCTGGTGCATACCTTTAATTCCAGCACTTGAAAGGCAGAGGCAGGCAGATTTCTGTGAGATCAAGAGATCAAGGCAAGCCAGGTCTCCATAGCGAGTTCCA